ACGCCGAAGTTCAGTTCGACACAGTCCTGGCCTAGCTTTTGCTGCCAGCTTCACGTCTCAAGGCTGGCAAGAGGTTGCTTGGAATGGGCGGAGGATCTGAAATGGCAACATGGGGAGGGTCGTGTTGTCGCGACTTGAGCTCAGCACGGAGCCGTTGGACCCAGCTTGGCTTTGCCCGGAACTTAGGAAGTTGCAGGGCAAGGCTGCAGCCAGCAGGCGCCAAGCTGCTGGCTTACACCATTCGAGTTGGACGCTTTCAGCGCTAGGACGCCTCGTCCAGCGCGCGCAGCGCCGCAATGAGCCAGCCTTCTTTCGCTTTCGCTGGCGCGTGTTGAGTTTCAGCTCGATTACACAGTTCTGGTCTAGCGATTGCTTCGGTGGCTAGCTTCCCATCACAGTAGCTTGCCTGGAATGGTCTGTGTTGAGGCTTGCTGTGGGGGTGTTCATGTTTGACGCCTCGCCTTGCAGCATTGGCAGCGCTCTGCCTCTCCACCGCTTGCAGTAGTTTGGCAGGCGTTGAAGTTCATTTCCTGGTCTAGCGTTTGCTTCAGTGGCTGGCTTCCTGGTACGGCAGCTGGCTAGGCTAGGGGGTTTGCCTGGAATGGGCTATGTTGAGGCTTGCTGAGCCCACTAGCTTGGCAGTTGCAGTCACCAAAGCCCCTTACAACGCCTCTCCGCTTTTCAGACAGAATCTCACGGGGTAACAGCACACTACGCCCATCCGACGTGAGCCCCCCAGCATCTTAAGCTCCTCTCTGCCCAAACATGCGGGTTTCGGGAACCCATCTACTTGCACTGAATGGAGTGTCGGAGAAACTTCTTTTCTCGTTTGCGAAACGATGTGCGTGCCGACAGCCGCCGTCTTGGTCTCAACTTTGCTTTGGCCAGGTGTCGCAAAGCCAAACTCACATTGATCCCCTTGTCCACCGGGGTGGCATGTCGTCGGCTTTCTTTGCAACACTTTCACCGCCAGCCTTTCTGCTCTTCCGAGCGGGAGTTTCCCTGAGATCGACAATTCGGCGCTGGCGGCGATGCCGCAAGCGGCTGCGAAGGTGGTCGAGAGCAGCCTGGATCGGCTTGGACAGCTGTTGCGTTTTGCCCCTTTGAAGGGTGCCGAGTTGTAATTCCAAGAGCGGCGCCCCTCATCCCTGCAACGAGCGTGACGCGCTCGCAGACTTGTGGCCTGGCCTGGTTTTGGTGAGGTTCATAGGACTTGGAAGACCCGTTTTCGCTCGATCGAAAACCAAGCAGAAAATGATTCGAGTTCTCGCCGGAAGTCCTGTTGGGGAAATCGATGTTGTATACACTTGAAAGTTTGAAAGCTCAGACGAGTTGGTTTTCAATCGTAGCACCTCTACCCAGCGAGCTATGCTTTTCCAGCGATGTGCCTTTTTCAAAGAAGAGTTGGTTTTTCTATCGAAGCCTTTCTTGCGTTCTACGGACTCTACGGATGTTTTTGACCGGGGTTTTGAGAACCAAAGAGACACTGACAACGGGCAGGTGCCGGAAGGAGCTACAATATAGCAGAGACGGTTTATCACATTTGTTGTTTCAATCACGTTGTAGGAAATACTAAGCTGCTGGATGGCCTTTCAACCAAATGCAACCTTTTCAATGTTTAGAGCTTGGCCTACGAAAGGGGCGTTTCCAAGCACGAAGTGCTTGACTCCTGTGAATCAAGGAACGTGCCACACAGGGTATGCCCGTGTTTTCAGCCAGTTTGGACTTGCAAAAACTCAACCATCTTGGTTCCCGGTTGATCCTTTGAGCGCATTTTGCCAAGGGATGTGAGGACTTCAACCTTTTTGCCAACTGATGGGCTTTCCGTATTAAACCACTAATAGCCTATAGCAGAGCAGAAAGAAACCGAGGCTCGTCTCCGCATCGCTCGACCCCAGCTCCGTCCACCCGCGTTTCGTTTGCCCAGCATCGCAGAACGGCTCGTGCCGAAAAAATCCGTTCTCCCCCCCTTCTTTTGGACACGTAAACCAAAACACCCAAGCATTGACATGCTTTTGGGAAAAGAAAGAGTACGAGACAGAAAGACAGAGGAAGAAGAAGAGATGGAAGGGTAACGATTTGCTTTTGCTTTGTCCAGTTTTGATTGGGCTGCTGCGGCAAAGCAGCTCGCGCACACCAATCGGGCCCGCAGGTTGTTTGCCCACTGAGACTTGTTTCATAGCACCACCCTTCAGCTTGGCTCAAGCCGATGTACCAGGATTGACGCCACATGCCTTGACTCGGAGAGGGTGTGGGTTCCAACATGGCAGGTGAAGAAGCGAAACCAGACGCGTACCTCTACTTGCCTTAGGCACGCACCAATTAGTTCAAGACATGCTTGCCCGGTGCCTGAGCTGCAAACATGTGGATGTGCCAACCAGTCTCCCGGTTTATGCAAGGACAGAATCGAATGAGGAGTGAGGCTGCTGGCGCCCAGTGAATCTTTCAGGTCAGTCTTCCGACCTTCGCCCGGAGAGATTTCCGTCACAGGATGCCCCCGCTCCCTGACTCCAGCCAGAAAACCGGTGAAGGCGGGGCCGTGTGCCGAGAGCAACTATGAAGCTAGCCCCTTTATTGCTGCCTGCTGCGAATGAGTGTGGCTCAACGGACTCCAATGCAACAGAGCGCCCACATGCCCCCAGGCTGCCCAAATCCGAAGAAGGCTCGCTCTTAGGCAGCCGCATCTTGCGAGCTTAGGATACATGCTCGGGCTGCGGCACGCCGTCGAAGACCTCGCAGTTGGCCCGAAGGGCAAACGGGGTGCGACCGGATGCCGGGCACCTGCCAGCAGGTGCCTGTTCATAGAAAAGTCGGACAACCAAGGTGCCTTGCGTGCTGCTGGTCTTGTTGCCGTTTTCGACCCTGGCTTTGTGCTTTGCACAACAATGCACGGCTCTTGGCTTGAATCGCAGGGCTTGTTCTGAGCAGGCATGTGATGGCATCATGAGGAGCGTCATGTTGCTTTGAGCAAAGCTTCGCCTTCCCGGGGCAAACTCCGAGAGCGAGCTGCTGGCGCCATCCGCCTCTCGATCCATCATTTGGCCGTGGGTCAAAAATAGGTAACCCAAATGGAACCCTAAGTGGAAACAACCAAAACCTGCGGTCCATATCCGGGTGGGTTAATTTTGACCCATACCTATTTGCGTCCTTAAGCCTTGGATCGGCCCCGATGCGCCTGACTTGCGGGCTCGACTGAGTCGCTTCGACTCGGTGCTCGTGGACGAAAAATGCGGGGGCCGCAACTTGGAGTTCGTGGCGGCTGAGACGTTCCAGGCGCTGGTAGCGTGCTATGGGGGGGACCAGCCATTTGAGCACAGACATGTTCAGGTCAAGGTAGCCACATTAGCTCTCCGCGCTTAAAGCTTTTTGAGTTGGCCGCACGCCCACCGCGACCTTCCCATCCCTGCAAGGGATTTCGTGGCCGCAATTCCAGGCATTTGTTGGCTTAAGGCATCTCTGTGGAAGGGTATTGTCAAGGCAGGGAGTGTTCTTTGCAAGAAGGATGCGCGCGGAGGCCTGCAAACTGTTCACTACGCCTATGACGAACAAAGTACACTTTGGCAGAGCCAGCTCAAACACCGCAACTGTTCAGCACAAGTGCCGTATGCAAAGTAGACATGGGCAGCTGCAGCACAAATGCAAATGATCTGTACGATTGCAATATCTGAAGTGAGCTGTGGCAGCTCCAGATCGAACATCGCCCAATGTTGGTACGGTGGGCAGGTACAGATTGACAGCCCGTCAGGAACTCCCAAATATTCAGCGCGGGTGCAGCAAGCAAAGCGTTTGGCACATCTGCACTTGACTGCTATTGGGTTGGATCTTTAGACTTTAATGTTTTAGGAAATAAAGGTATTTTCCACTAAACCCCCAAAAAGTTAAACTTTTTGCAGGGGGGTCAACAGCAACCAAGTGCAAGGCAAAGAAGATCTTGCGGCCTTGAGGAGATCGTGTTGCCTTGACTTGAGCAAGGCGCGCAGCCGTTGCACCCCACCAGCTTGGCTTCGCTCAGTTCGTAGCAAGTTACAGCTCAAGACTGCTGTGGCTGACAGACACGGTATTCGGGAAACAAAGAAAGGGGACGGCTGACCGTGTTACCAGCAAGCAGGTTCTGCGAACTGGTTTACTTCGGCGAGAGATTTTGTGAAGTAGTTCTGCTTGCATCATGTGCTTGGGAAGTTCTGCGAAGGGTGGTGCGAAGGGGTTCGGCTAAGCAAGGCCGCCGTTCTGGAGCCGCGCGTTCGAGATTATGTGGCTGCGAGCTTGGGTCGGCGGGTCTGGAGATGGTGCCCCTTTAAGTTTCCTTCACGTTGGCTCTGCTGTTGGAACCTTGGCAAGCTTCAGCATCGCAGTGCCGTTGTGACTGGCAGACGCAGCAGTTGGACGCCTGGCCAGCGCTGCAGGCCTTGCATCTCTGTTGAAGCGTACGATCACCCTAAACTCAAGGCACTGCCGAGTGTCCTTTTTGAGAAGGATGCGCGTGCAGGGGTGCAGGGGGCCAGCCATTGGTGTTGACAAATCAGAACTATACTCCCAAACCCCATGGCTAATTGCCACCTCGGAGTCTTGAGCAAAGCGTGCAGTCGGACCCCCTTGCCGCTTGAGATTGCCCCAAAAATCCTTGAGGACGCAGCTGTTGCGCCCCACCAGCTTGGTGCGGGGAAAAAAGAAAGAACACAACTCACTTGGCGCAGCTCCGTTTGCGCGCGGACCCGTTTGATGCTAAGCCTTTGGAAGCCTTCCGACTCACCTCAGTGCCTGCGCACCTCCAGATTGTGATACTCCGTTCATATGGCTGCAGTAAATGGCAGCCCCCATGAGCTGTCAGCAGTAAGCCGTTGTCCTTTCCAAACCGTCCTGCATCGTCTCGCTCACGTAACTCATAATTTGCTGCAGTGCACTCTTATGCTACCTGGAAACCCATATGTGACCTTTTCTTCTGTCCATACGGTTTGGGGGACAAAATACTTCCAGATGGCCATGTATGGTTTTTTGTCAACATGTCGTTGAACAACTACGGGCTGCATACGGCCAAATACGGCCGCTGGCCAGGAAACAAAAGCCATACGGAAAGAAGCGATCCTGTTACGGGGTCCGTCCCAAAAGGCCATGCGGCTTTCCAGGCGATTACAAAAGCCACATCCTGTACAAACCTACAAGCCTGTCCAATTGCAAGTGGCAAGTCCAGGAGATCGTGTTGCCTTGACTTGAGCAACGCACGGAGCCGTTGGACCCCACCAGCTTGGCTTTGGCAGAACTGTTGTGAGGAGCTGCAGCTTGAGGCTGCTGCAGCTCAGTGCTGCTGGCCCGCGCGTGCGCTTACATTGTGCGGGTTGGACGCCTGCAGCGTTGGCTGGATACCTTGTGCTGCAGCGCGCGCAGCGCCGCAGTTTCCCAGCCTTCTCACTTTCACGGTCAAGTTCAGTTCGATGACACAGTCCTGGTCTGGAGCTTGCTCCAGTGGCCAGCTTCACATCAAGGTAGTTGGCAAGAGGTTGCCTGAGACGGGCTGCGCTCAGGCTTGAAGTGTTAGATCGTGAGGAGCATCATGTTGCCTTGACTTGAGCTCACGGAGCCGTTGGACCCCACAAGCTTGGCTGGAGCTTTGTAGAAAGCTGCAGCTTGAGGCTGCTGCGCTCAGCAGGCGCAGTGCTGCTGGCCCGCCCATGCGCTTAAACCTTTTGAGTTGGACGCCTTGCGCTGCTGCGGCGCGCGAAAAACCCGCGAGTGCTGCAATTTCCCAGTCCTTACGCTTTGAGGGCGGCACGCGTTGAATTCAATTCAATGACGCAGTCCTGGTCTAGCATTTGCTTCAGCGGCTAGCATCTCATCAATCAAGATAGCTGGCAAGAGGTTGCTTGGAATCGGCTTCCTTTAGACCTTCAGAAGAATGCTGGCCTGCGCGTGCGCTCATGCCGTTTGAGTTGGAGGCCTCGTCCTGTCGCTTCAGCAACCCCGCAGCTTCCCAGCCTTTGCGCTTTCAAGCCTGGTCCTGGTCTAGCGTTGAGATTCACGTCAAAGAGACCTTTCAAACAAACTGCTGCCTCAAATGTTGGCGTCCAGTATGCACCGAAAACGGTACATTGTGTGAATGCGCGCGTCAAATCAAGACAGGGTGGCGCAAGGTGGGTTGTAGCATGGGGCTAGATCATATGACAAAATTGGAGTGCTGTAGAGCAGATTAGCGTGGCCCCCGCAGGGATTGCACGCGCAAACCGGGAAGTGTAGCCAAGGTATATGCCTTTCTTCAAATTCCATGCTGTAGATCTGCTGGAGCGTTGAGGCGGATGCTTGTCGGTTTAGTTGACCCTCCAGAATACGACTTTCGTCAGGAGTGTTAGATGGCTCGGGCGCGTCGAGTTTCCGTGAGCAAAGCCCGCAGCCATTGGACGCCGCCAGCTTGGCTCTGCCCAGAACTTTGCGGCGAGTTGCAGCTTGAGGCTGGCAAACGCTGTATGTTAATCTGTGGGGGAGCAATGTTTGCTTTTTCCAGAGCCCTATTTCCTCCCGAGGAGGATGAAGGAGCTGCAATCGAAATCAGGAAGAACGCCACGTTTCCTCAAACATCTAAAACCGAAACAACGTCCATGTCTTACTACAACGCCAAAGATGGGCTATGTTCAGGCTTGCGGGAGAAGTATTAGATTGCATGTCGTCTTGCCTTGACTTGAACAAAGCGCGAACTGAAACCGTTTGAGTTCGACGCCTTGTCCGGCAGTGCCGGCAACCCCGCAACTTCCCGGCCCTAGCATGTCCACGCTGCCTGCCCCGCGCTGGAAGCTGATTCAAGCATGCTGTCTCGGTCTAGCGTTTGCACCGGCTAGCTTTGCACCAAGGTAGCTCGCAAGAGGTTGCGCCTTGGCTTCGCAAGACGGCAATTCGAAAGGCCGCATGGAGCCACGAGAAGAAGAACGGCAGTGATGGGCGCGTCATGTTGCCTTGACTTGAGCAACGCACGGAGGCGTGCCCCACCCTCTTGGCTCCCAGAACTTTGTGGGAAGCTGCAGCTTGAAGCTGGGCAGGCGCGGTGCTTCTGGCCCGCACGTGCGCTTACACCTTTCGAGTCAGCGCTCGGGTCGTGCTGTCGTGACTTGAGCTGGCAAGGGGGCTTGCCAGGAATGGGCTCTGTTGGCGCTTGCTATGGTGCCTAAGTTTGACGCCTTGCCTTACAGCATTGGCGGCGCGTCTCTCCACTCCTCGTTTTAGTCTGGCACGCGTTGAGGTTCAATTCCTCTTCCTGGTCTAGCGTTTGCTTCAGTGATCAGGTAGCTGGCAAGGGGTCTTGCATGGAATGGGCTATGTTGCGGCTTTCTGTGGGGGTGTTTAAGTTTGATGCCTCGCCTTAATTGCAGCATTGGCAGCGCTGCGTCGCTCGCAAGAGTCTGGCACGCATTGAAGTGCAACTCCTGGTCTAGTGTTCGCTGTGGCTAGCTTCCCGTTACGGTAGCCGGCAAGCCGGTTTGCCTGGAATGGGCTATGTTGAGGCTTGCTTGAAGCACTAGCATCGCAGATGCAGTCCTTAGCGCCTCATGACCGTTGTGGCTCAAGCGTATACTCAGGCTGCCCTCGAACTACGCCCATCCGGTGTGAACGCAGAACCTTGGCTCGTCTCGTCCCAAAACATGCCTTCCCCGGTTGCGTGCGTGCCTGCCGCTTTTGTCTCAACTTTGTTGTGACCAGGCGTTGCAAAGCCGGGCTGCGCTCATTGATCCCCTTATCCCCCGGGCTAGAGTGCCGTCGGTTTCTGTGCAAAACTTTCGCCGCCGGCCGTTCTGCTCTTCCGAGCGGTGGGAGTTTCCCTGACATCGACACATCGGCGCTGTCGGAGGAGAGCAGCTCGCAAGGCAAATGTTCTATGCGGTTGACTTTTTGTTGACCCATACTTGTGGCTACCTGGGTCGCATGGGCTGGGAAAGCTGCCGTGTGTTAGTTTTGCTTCTGAGTGCAAGCAATTAAGCTCACAGTTGGAGTTAGGCGGGGGCGGCATCCATTTTAGGATTGGCGTTATACAACACAGCTGGGCAAAGAAGGGATCTGTTTTAGGATTGTCGTTATACCAGCACAGCTGCGAAGCAGTTACTGTGTTCATGGTTGGAGTTCGGCGAGGAAGGCATCCATTTCAGATTTGTGTAGCACCAGCACAGCTGCGTTCCATTTTGGCATCGCAAACCCGAAGCATGACAGTTTTTTGTTGTAAGTCACTGTGATATGAGCGGAGCCCTAGACTTCAACCGCTTCCCATTCAATCAACGGCAAGGACCCAACTTTTTGGCGGTTCCCGGCAGGTTTTTAGGATTTTAGGGTTCAAGTAGTGGGGGTTTCATTTAACCAACTGACAGTCAAGCTTTCAGCAAGTGATCTGAAGACAGCCCAGCATTTAGATGGTGATTTAGCTGGCGCAACTCCTTAGACAATAGTGGTTAGACAATTTAAGTGGTTGGAACCCGGACTGGTTCGACTCATGAGATTCCCCCATCACTTTGTCCATCAGCCTTCGGGTTTTGGTTTCCGAGCAGAAGTCTGTGGGAAGGCTCCTGGGTCCAGATTCCTCAGGGAAGCCCTAAGCAGCTTGAGCAAAACAATGGTGCCTTCAACAATTGTAGAAACAAAACCATGGTTGAAACGATGAAACAAGAGGTTGAATCGCAACCATTTCTTGATTTCTACCCAAGGGGATCCATTTACTTAGGCGGTTCCCAGCCATCCCCTTAGTTATTTGTTTTTTCCATTCAAGCCCCTAAAAGTTAAACTGTTGGCAGGCAATCTGAGAACAGCCCAGTTGTCCGATATAGTAGACAGTAGGTAACCAGGAACCGCCCTTTCAAAACCAAAAAGGAGGATAGCTGGTTGCCTACGATCACTTTGGCGCATTTTGCCAAGGGATGTTAGGACTTTAACTTTGTGCCAACGAATTTGGGTTTTCTGTATTAAGCCACTAAAAGTTATTCACTTGTAGCAGGGCTTCGCAGACTTCGCAACCGAGATAAGTTGGGCTCCACTGGGCACAGGGCACTGCAGCCTGCGCCACCTTCGCCATCGCCCGCAAAACCGGCGGTGCGGCGAGCGCTTCGGCTTGGGCGCAGCGCTTCCCTTCCGCGGCGGCCTGGAGCGGAGGGGCCGCATTCCATTTACCGAGTCTTCCCCATGGGATGTAGTGAAAATGGCTTCCCTTCAAGGTTTTTCTTTGAACACCCAAACGGACCAAACAAAAAATCGGGGACACATCTGCCTATTATAATGGTGGGGCAAAATATCCCTTGCTTGAGGGTAGGTGAGTCACAATCAAAACCCGGTATTAAAATGGTCGTAATCCCAGAACCATGCTTCAAGAATTAAGAAGTCGGAATTCCGCAACTATTTCTGGCTGGGACTGCCCCTTACGAATCTTCATCTACCCGGGTTTTGATTGTGGCTCACTTGACCCAAGGCGAATCTTCTCTTAGGGCACCAGTGGATTCCGCCCCTTTTTTCAACTTGCTTTGGGCTTTGGGTTCCCAAGGGCACTGGGCATTTGAGTCTGTGGCTCCCAGCCATCCGGTTCCTGAGCTTTTTGGCTTGTTAGTGTTTAGTGGTTGGTTTTCCATTTAGCCACTAAAAGTTAAAAACTTTTAGCGGGGGATCTGAGGACAGCCTAGAAATTGCCTTTCACCATGAGCCATCACCAACCATAGCTTTGAGGCACCTCATTTTTAAGGCTACTCTCGCACCGATAGACGTGGAAGGCTCGCTCAAGCACTGGGTTTTTTCCGCCTTCCGCTTTGACTGCGCTCAAAAAAAGAGGCGGTTTGAGGCTGCCAGGACATTTCCGAACCAAAAAGGAAAGGCTCGAAGCTGAAGCCGGCGAACTCGGTGCCGGTTTTGGGGAATACCAATTGGGAGTCACAAATGGGTGTGGTTCTCAAAATTTAACAGGAGGGGCCAACCGCAGGTTTTGGCCCATGTTTCCACTTACCAGGGTTCCATTTTGGAATTCCGGTTTTTTGAGCCACAGCCAAATGTCTTTCAGTCCCTGTACGATTTCTTAGATGGTTGGCTTTTTCCAGAATGTAGAGTTGGACTTGTTACGGGGGACATATTCCAATAAAATTGTGTCACTTTAAAACCAAGAAAAACACATATACTCCGAGGAATGGACTAAATAGTTTCCCTGGTCGGTTCAACAGGGTGTCCTATTCAGGAGGGTATTTCACTTTTATTTGGAGAGGGCGAATTGGCCTAACCTTTGGTTTCCCTGATTTGGTTTCCATTTTGAGCCATCCCAAAACATGGGTGCTCAACATTGAGCTAGGGTTACGCAGGTGTTCGTCTTTCCATTTACCCTTCCCAGAATTAGCTCCCCTTTTTCCTTTTTTGTTTTTTTGGGGTCCCCTTTGTCTTCCACCAACCAGGCAAAGAAAAAATAATATATTTTTGCTGGGGTCCCTTTTTTCCAGCCAAGTTACCAAGGTGCCGATTGGTTCGTTTTCTTTGAGCCAAAAATGATCACTTTTGGGTCCCGTGCCACCGAGAAACGAGCGAGCGAGGAAGCTCTTCGAGGGCGCGTGTCATGCAAATGCCGATGCCTCAGCTTCCTTTTGGTTGCCCTTGAACAGGGCTTCTTAAAAGATCTCCATTTTGCAACCAATTGAAGCATGGCTTCTTCCACCAAAATAAAGGGACACCTCCATTTGCAAGGCAATGTTCAGGTGTATAATGTAAGGATCCCTGTTGAAGCCACCGTGAACCGTGGCACACAACGGCCTAAATCATTTGCATGGGGCTACTTAAAAACAAACGTCGTCAGGGTTATAGGGGAGCAGGGTGCGCACTTGTTTTTTTAAAGGTTGTTGTGGTATCCTTCTGGGTGAATCATAACGACCTCGCACGACCTCACCCCAAATGGTGGTTTATGTGGGGACTAGCTCCCCAACCCCCTTATTTCAGGTGGGTGAAATATTATAATTCACCCAGATCCTTGCAAAACAAGCGCCAAAGAACCCGCCACTTCAAAAAAGCGGCGAGAGGAGCGACCGCTTGGCTCGCGGCGTGCGGCGGCAGCCGTTTCGGTTCTGCCTGCTCGCTAGGCGCGACGGTGAGGCGATCGTGTTGGGGGAACTGGGGCGCCTGAAAGCATTGGAACCTCTACTAGCTATTGGGTTGGATCTTTAGACTTTAACTTTTTGGTTGAAATAAAGGTGTTGTCTTCTAAACCCCAAAAAAGTTAAAAGCTCTTTGCAAAAAGGTCGTTGCAGCAACCAAGCTCTGGAATTTCATCTCATCCCAGGGAGTTTGGAGTTGTTCGTAACCTTGGTCATAGCCCACCTGCAATTCCCTCCTTGTTATTGGGGTGTTTTTACCCAAGTGGCCAACCACTTACGAACTTCCAAGTATTCAGGTAGCACATTGACACCCATTTTTGCAACCCACCCAACAACCTGCTTGAAATCTCCAAACGGGTGCCAGCTGCACCCATTGGTTCGGATGATTACCCAGCATTGGCAATCGGGAGATCTTTATTCAGGGGGAAAATGAACCAGAGGTCAACATTTCCGTGGGTGGACAAAATCCCGTACCGGTGGGTAGTTGGTTTATCAAGCAGTGCTCATAGAGTGTCATCCAACTGGTGCGAAAGGGATTTTGTTTTATCCGCACTATTGTATTGGAT